CCTCAAACGTGACGGGGCGCTACGCTGGGTTCTTTATCCCATCACATACCTCGCTTTATGTAGCCGAATATACGTTCGGCACAAAGACTGCCTCAAACCAACGCGAAATGCTTTTCCAGACCCGCGGACACCAGCTTGTAAAATCGCAAGCCGGCAGCATGCCAGCAGTGATACGGCGACCATCAGAGGATCGTCCAAGTGGACAGAGTAGACCTCCGAGTCCACCACACCTTCAGGCACAGCTCAGACTTCACGGGATGCTGGCTGGCTGCGATGTACGCACAGTTCAATGATGGCCCAGCTGGTTTCTTCGGACCAAACTGACGCGCGGAGCGGCACGAGGCCGAATAATACGGCACAGCAGAACTGGGTGGACCCGGGTTTGGTGTGCTGGTACGGGACCACCAGGGAAATGTTGGTATTATTTTGCTGCTGAGAGGGCAATACGTTGTCGATTTTAGTGCAGGTATGCAGTGATGAGTGTGACTTGTACCTACGCGCAACGACTCAGGGGCCTAGCGTTTCTGAAAACCTTTGTGAGGTTTAATTTACAAGTCATTTCACATTCATTGGTTCGCGAGTATGATAAGCTGTCTTTGCCTTGCCAACTTCCCACGATTCAGCCCGTCAGTTATTGGTATTTTTAGTAACTTTAGATTTCGTGGGAGGCACGCTTAAGGCCAGCTTAGTCATGAATATTTACGAAAGAATTACCGGAATGCTGCTCTTTTCCTTACCTTATTTCATGGGATAACCACCTCGTCGCCTCAGGCGTGCAAGGCGCGTGCCGCAGTAAATGAGAGGCCTCTCATCCAAACCTGGCTTCCGTACGTGTTCCTAGACAGGCCCGAACCAAGCTGTACTGCCATGCCAGTGACTGAGGAGTACTGCCCTCGGATAAGAAATATCTTGTAACGTATGTATGTATATGTATATATAACATACTATTTATATGTTACATACACACATGTATATATCGTACTTATATATTACATACCCCCACATATATATATATATATATATATATATATATACATATATATATATATATATATATATATATATATATATATATATATATATATATACATACATGTCCGGATAAGAAATATATAAAAGAGAAATACCCTATGCTGTGCTAACCAACTTTCACGGCAGGGCCTTCGCGGGCGGATTCTGTGGCCACCACCTCCTTGGCCCAGAGAAAAGCTGCTGGTTTCGTCATGCAGTGGCGAAGGGTATGAAATCCAGGACGAATGTCGTCGCGCCACCACTGTACAAATGGGATGTGGTCAACCAAGATTACCCGGCCCCGCGGCCGTCGCTTCGACGCGCTGAGAGGCGTGTTGGACCCTCCGGCGTTTTTTTTTGAAATTTGATCCGAACCCTTTGAATGGATGGATTTTTGGGATCAGCGCTCACGCTAAGCAGTGCTTGTTGCGCGAGCCCTGACCCCTACTATCCGATCGCGCAATTCCAGGCAACAGCAGAATTTAGTGGCGTAAGCTTAACGTGCCGCAATGCTCGGCACGGTCCGTCCTGCCCTCTGACGTCAACCGACCTTTAGTGCGACCGCTGCCACCGGCCGCAGGCCATACCTGTCAAGGACAAATAGCGAACGCCTAAAGCGACTCGAACCCACCCCGCCACGGGTGGGTGAATCGAGAGGCAGGCGCTCTTACCAACTGAGCCACCGGGACGGACAAACTTCTAGGCGTTCTGACTAGAGAAAGGTCAGAGGTAGCATCGTCCGATGGATGGCATTAATCTTAAGTTTAATGAGTTTGGAAAAAAAAACTTACTCCTCATATGTTGGGGTGGCTTCAACGCACACGCAAAAAAGCTATGCTTGGAGAGTATAGTAGTTAAAGTCGATTACGCCCCACGCTGCCTCTAAAATCATCATTATAGGAACAACAAAAATAATAACAACAACAGCAGCAATAACAACAACAACAACAGCAACAACAAGAACAACAACAACAATAATAATAATAGTAAAATAGCCGGGTTCAGTGCGAGAGCCCACACCCTCAGCACGGCTTCGCCCCAGCCGCGGCAGCAGGCCACTGTTCGCTGAGTCCAAGCCAAGCCGGGCCAAGCCGGGCCAAGCTTGCTGTCCGCGCGGGCAGCGAGAGCTGAGAGCGTGGCAGCGGTAGAGTCGGCGCGACTGCCCCACCGCGCCAGCGATAGGGTCGGCGCGACTGCCCCACCGCGCGCGCGGACAGGGTAGCGAGAGCTGAGGCGTGGCAGCGGTAGAGTCGGCGCGACTGCCCCACCGCGCCAGCGATAGAGTCGGCGCGACTGCCCCACCGCGCCAGCGATAGGGTCGGCGCGACTGCCCCACCGCGCCAGCGATAGAGTCCGGCGCGACTGCCCCACCGCGCGCGCGGGCAGGGCAGCGAGAGCTGAGAGCGTGGCAGCGGTAGAGTCGGCGCGACTGCCCCACCGCGCCAGCGATAGAGTCGGCGCGACTGCCCCACCGCGCCAGCGATAGGGTCGGCGCGACTGCCCCACCGCGCCAGCGATAGAGTCCGGCGCGACTGCCCCACCGCGCGCGCGGGCAGGGCAGCGAGAGCTGAGAGCGTGGCAGCGGTAGAGTCGGCGCGACTGCCCCACCGCGCCAGCGATAGAGTCGGCGCGACTGCCCCACCGCGCCACACTACTGAAAATGAGGGCCTCTGGCATGTGTATTGCATGGGTGTGGAATGCCGGATGACAGCATGCAGCTGTGGATGCCTCGAGAATGAAGCATGACGAATAAAAAACGTGCCTTTCATATCGTATTTCCCTCGTGAAATAGGGACGTGCTCTACGTACTACTACGTACTCATTTAGTGCGTTGACGAAATCAGAGTGTGCACAAAAACAAGCTTTATTTAACACGCTGACAAAATCCTCACGAGTGTGCGCAAAAGTAACAACGGTCTTACTCAGTCAACAACAGTCTCATATGACTCGAGCGCGCTAAAAGACATACTGCCATCCTATACTTCAGACCGCGATTTGACCCTCTCAAATAGCTGCGTGTACATGAAACTTCCAGCTTTTTTCATGCGCCCTTTTGCCAAAAAGAAACAAACGAAAAAGGCGTTGGAACTGGGAGGGGTGGACCGGACTCGAGGACATTTCAATTACCGTCGTTCACTGTAATTACAACCGATCGACACCAAAGGTAGATCATGATAAACGGTCACCATTGAACCAAATCTACACTCGCGAATTGTGGCACACATGTAACTCATTAAGTTGAGGTCACGCCTTACCTGTCATTTTGAAAGCTTTTGCAAACAAATAATGAGACTGTTGGCGCTGAAGTAGCGTATTGAATACGAATCTGTAAGAAAGTATCAGAAATGTTTTGGGGTCATGCATGTTTGTTTTCGCACCCTTTGTTTCGAGGTTTTGAAACAGGACACTCAATTCTGTGTCCTTGCATTTCATACAAACATTTCAACCCCTTGTGATATCACACTCGGTAATAACATGTGGTCTCCTGCGACGTCAACAAGAGTCAGGTAGCCTCCATTTCATACACACCACTGTCTTGTCCTATTTACTTGCAACTTTGTCACCACTGGTCTTCCATCATGGTCGGTCATGACTCAGCAATAATATACGCATACCAAACGAAATCTTCTTATTTGGCCTCACCTGCTCTGATCTGTTTCACATCTAAATGTCTTTTTGCTGTATGAAAAAAGCTATTTGCGCGACACAAGTTTGTAAACGCTTGCATGAGACCGCTCATACTATCTTTGCCAATGTAAACAAGTTACATGTGACCTGAGGTCAAATCAAACATCTGGGCTGATTCACTTTGGTCAATGTTTCTCGTTTATTTTTCCGGGAGCCAAACAACGCCATCTAACCGCGTGTTGGTGCATTACTTTATTCTTCAACGAATTACCTTCGTAGACTTCCTTTCACTGAAAATGCATTTGACCTTATAGTTACTGGCGTGTAACAGTAAATCGACACTAAATAGATTTATGTTGCATTTTTTTAAGCAGTCCCAATGCCTAGTGGGGTGGCTTCAGGGAATGCGTGCATGCAATACAAAAATATACGTGCCCTGGCACACAAATCAGTAATTTTGTACCATCCAGATTTGAAAGCGCGCAACGTAGATCATTTATCATATCTCGACACCTCGTAAAGTAATCATGAACTACAATGTCAATGTAAGTGTGTTGTGAGCACCACTCGATACGAACTTTCGAAATTCGTTATGCCTCCCCTTCTAGTACTGTGGTTATAAGCTCATGGGGTGAGCTCTTTTAAGCCCGTCTTAGAATTTGGAGTCTTTTTGAGGTTTCGAGCCTTAGTCTTTCAGCTTAGGTTTTTGGCGGCCAGTTAGGCGGAGGACAGTTTTAAAAATGATTTAATTTTCATAAAATTTGCCACACCTATCATCTCGTATGTCGTTCAACCATCGTTGCATAAGTGAATAATATACTAACTAGTGGATGCCCTACTGTCAGTTTCGTTTAGTTCCGAATTAATTACGCACATATTTAAGTGTAAGTTATACCCATGCCCTTACCCGCATCCCCATTAATCCCCAATCCTTTTGAACAATGTGCGTATTTGCCCGTTTGGCTGAGTGCCTATGCTCTCACACGGTATTCAACAGCACTCATCATAGTCTCCACCAGCCGCTGTTGGGTTCCAGGTCTATGTTTAATGCAATATTCAAGTACCAGAACATCGGCAATCTGTCACTGGATAAAAGCAGAGCTGAGCTAAGATGAATTAAGAACAATGCGAAACTCCGACAGAAGACTAAAATCGCAAGAGATTGTTTGCTTTCGGTGTCAGCACCACAATATGAGGAACTTTGCAGCCGGGTGGCTTAGCACACTTTGAAAGTGTGCTAAGCCATCGACGTAGTTTGCTAAGCTACACCGGCTCCATGTTGGTGTAGCACATACCCATCAGCGTGCGTGACAATCGACACCATTTGGTGTCAAAATGTGCAGAAACTCGGATTGGCTTACCAATGATGGTGTACGACACTGCCATGGCGATCATTGGGAGGATGTACGTCAACACCAGAAATATCATGTTGTACCTGCCAAACACAGAAAATCGTGACACAACGTCATACGCATACAGGAAGAGAATATATATATGTATGGCATGTGGCATGAAGATATGTGTACGGCACCATATAAATGTACCTGACATGCATTTCAAATCAATTACTCGGCCACTTCGAATGGCTCGTGACTGGCCGATTATTCATGACCTTAATCTGAAACGTCACTGGCATAGCTGTTAGCGTAAACCAGCCCGCGTTTTCGGGGATGTCCCGATCTGTCCAGCGTGCCGAAGGGCAGATTGCGCAAGTGTGATGCATAACCTTTACAACCTAGCCGGTAAGACCAACTTCCACCATTTCAATTAATCGAATTATCATGTCTATTCAAAGTTGTGCACGGCGAAAAGAGAGAAAGAGAGAAAGAGAGAGAGAGAGAGAGAGAGAGAGAGAGAGAGAGAGAGGAGAGAGAGAGAGAGAGAGAGAGAGAGAGAGAGAAAAAAGAGGGAGAAGGGAGACGGAGGGATGACGAGGAGGACAACAGGGAGGAAGGGAGATATGTTTATATATATATATAATATAATAAATATTACATACTACAAACATACATACATACATACATACACACATATAATATATATATATCTATATATCATATATATATATATATTATATATATATGTATATAATATATATATATATATATATATATATATATATATATATATATATATATATATATATATATCTCCTCCTCTCTCTCTCTCTCTCTCTCTCTCTCTCTCCTCTCTCTCTCTCTCTCTCATCCTCCTCTCTCTCCTCCTCTCTCCCGTTCTCGTCCTCTCTATAATATATATATATATAATATATATAATATATCTATATCTATAGCTAATCCTATATCTCTATATATACTATATAATATTATATATATATATAGTATCATATATATATACATATATATCCAAGGTCATAGGGTCATGGAAGGGTTATGAGAAAAGGCTGAGTGGCCACAAATTACCCGCTGCAATGAAATACTTGTGGGCTTCACAAACACTAGCTTTTAAGCATTTGCAACAAACATTTGCATACAAATTATCATTTGGCTCAGTCTCACAGATCAAATGCACGCAGCACTGCTAATGACACGAGCAAAAGGTTCAGGATACCACCAGGGGCATATCACAAGCTTTTCAGCTCATTTCATATAAAACATACCAAATCACAGCATCATATAACACCAAACCGCAAACCTCCGCTTCGTGCCGCCAGGTCCGAAGCGTCTTGTCATAATTTGTCTAGTACATTTCGTTGGTGACCCGTTATTGACACATGCGTGCCCCAAATACGCGGAACCCCTAGTGCTACAATGCTTCAAGGGAGCATTTAGTTTACTTGAATACCCACGTGTGAGATTAGTAGCGTGCTCCACTTTAATTAATGCCAGCTGATTCCCGGTGATATTTGTGGAATAACTGAAGTCCTAGATCACACTGCAAAAGGCACCAGGGAACAGCGCAGCGCAGAACAGTAAGTTGTGCACCATTAGGATATGACTGCCCCAGCGTATATCTCAAAGCACGTGGACTCATTTTGTCAACAGCCTTTCTCGTTTCTATGATAATTTCACACATTTATGAATCACAGCACATTACATCTGGCTCACCTAAGAGATGGACGCATGCAAAAGAATGCAAAAGATCCACAAGAAACGCGGAAGTGTGAAAAATGTCTGAAATATAAGTTCAAGCAGCCGCATTTTTGTTCCCAACGTGTTTTTATTTGTTGACGGGCAACTACACAGGGCTGTATGATTTGTGCGGTGCTGGAGAACATTGTCTACGCGAGCTATTTTGACGATGGGATCTTAAGCAGCCAGAACTAGTATCAGTTATAAAGCAATTATCACGGTCCGCGGGCACGGTCTGCAACCTCTTGGCAGCTTTCGTTCCGGCTAACTTTTCACAAACAACTCCCATCTTACTTGCATGCGAGTTTCCCTTCGCCTTTATTCCGGACTTCCCTTTACCTCGACAGTGCTCGACCAATCGTGACTGATGGTACATCTGGTACGAAATCTAGACCAATAAACGTCCGGCACGGTCTTGGCTTAAAAAGGATATGGAAGCCTGGTCCCATGCCGGCTGTGGTTCCACAACGCCGAACGGCAGCAGACAGATCTATGGACATATGTACATAGTTCTCTTCGTGTTATCGTTTTTACCTCATATTGCTATCTCATGCTCTAAAATTGGTCTTAAGGGCATAGATATTATTAAGGAAAAATGCAAGCGTTTCAGCACTTTTCCTGTCTACAGGCAAACATGAGGTCATTTCCTTATATCCTTTTAGCCACTTTCGTGGTCTATCTGGCAGCATATTAATTTAGATATAAACGGGGCTAATGTGTTCGTTAAACCAAAGCTTTTCATCCAAATGCGCATACGTAGCAAGCTATCATCCCTGTCGTTGCAGTAACGTACCTGTCGCAAGTAGGTTTCTGACTGACACCTGGCATTAACTCTACGCATTAATTCTACAGTCCAGAGCTCTACTCTACCTCCAGAGCTCAGTCCAGTCTAACATTCCCCGCTTAAGCTTAATTCGAAAGGATGTGTGAGGACGAGGACAGAGCAGATCTCACTAAGCTTCCTTTTAGCGTAATTTCACTCTGCCCCTCTGCAAGGCATCGTTCGTCCAGCTTTACTAAGCTTCCTTTTAGCGTTGTTTCACTCTGCCCCTTCTCGCTGCATCGCTCACCAGCATTTGTTTAAAGCCCAGTTGATTCCAGCACAGAAAAGAATAAGTTGTTCAGTGCATTAGCAATGAATATTATTCACATAGACATAGACGTTCACATAGAAAGTAGTATTAGCCTTATTCCTCGCAAAAACCAGGAGAATAGAGATATAGTTAGGTTGATATTTCAGCAACGTGCCTTTATCGAAACAAAAGCGGAAGTCACTTCTGCTACTCTTTCGATAAAGGCATGTCGCCGAAATATCAACCTTACTGTACCTTCATTCTCCTGTTTTTTCCGAGGAATGATGCTAATACTACTGTCTTATCTATGCAACAAAGAATATATTAAATTAGCCGAGTGCATTTCGGTTCGACGAAGGCGGTCACAACATTCGGCCTTATGGGAGGACGAATGCGAAATTCTTGCGCAAGCCTATGATGGCACTAGAAAACGATATTTCTACCGACTTGGGGGGAGACATGCCACCGTTGGGCCCCCTCTTTGGGTCAACCAGTGCGGTCCCATCAATACATCGCAGGGTTCAAAAGCTACATGAAACAAGGCTTTAACTTTGTTCTCACCGTCTTTGCTGATACTGCACAGGTTGCCGCTCATGCACCAGATATAGTTTTCGCATGGCCTCTTCCACGCATTTGAATTCCCAGTTGAAGTTGGAACCGCGCTTGTTGCTAATGTTAGAACGACCATCAACGGCTGACAGCTTGCCGAGAAGCCCGGGATGAACTTTTACTTGTTGAAGCTAACCAAAGGTTAAATAAACTGCCGATCCAAAGGCCAGCCTACAGGTGATTCAAGCTGTCTATTTCCAATTCCAAATAAACTGTCGATCCAAACGACAGCCTACAGGTGACTTAAGTCGTCTATTTCCAATGCCAACTAAACTGTCGATCTAAACGCCAGTCTGGAAGTGATTCAAGCTGTTTATTTCCAATGCCAAATAAACCGTCGATCCAAACGACAGCCTACAGGTGACTTAAGTCGTCTATTTCCAATGCCAACTAAACTGTCGATCTAAACGCCAGTCTGGAAGTGATCCAAGCTGCTTATTTCCAATGCCAAATAAACTGTCGATCCAAACGACAGCCTACAGGTGACTTAAGTCGTCTATTTCCAATGTCAACTAAACTGTCGATCCAAACGCCAGACTATAGGTGATTCAAGCTGTTTTTTCCAAGACCAAATAAACTGTCGATATAAACGCCAGCGTACAGGTGATTCAAGCTGTATATTTCCAATATCAACTAAACTGTCGATCCAAACGCCAGCCTACAGGTGATTCGAACTGTCTTTTTCCAATGCCAACTAAACTGTCGATCTAAACGCCAGTCTGGAAGTGATTCAAGCTGTTTATTTCCAATGCCAACTAAACTGACGATATAAACGCCAGCCTACAGGTGATTCAAGCTGTCTATTTCCAATGTCAACCAAACTGTCGATCTAAACGCCAGTCTGGAAGTGATTCAAGCTGTCTATTTCCAATGTCAACGAAACTGTCGATCCAAGCGCCAGCCGCTTTCCGCCTGAAGCGGAAATAAAACATCGCTTATGGATCTATTTGCTTAGTCAACATGTAATTCAAAATTATCGCCTCCGGAAATAGCGTAACATCGACTACTTACATGATGGTTATTGGAAGCAGCACGGCATACTTAGATCCGCGCCTGGCCCGGGGTCTGAGACACACGCGCCTGGCCCGGGGTCTGAGACACACGCGCCTGGCCGGGGTTCTGAGACACCCGCGCCTGGCCGGGGGTCTGAGACATCCGCGCCTAGCCGGGGGTCTGAGACACCCGCGCCTAGCCGGGGATCTGAGACACCCGCGCCTGGCCGGGGGTAAGTTGCCTTATCCTGAGATCTCCAACTTCCAGACGCGGTATGAAAAATATATCATTTTAAAGGCCTCGTAAAATTATGAGAAATGCACACAGAATTTTTGACCTTAGGTCGACTATGAGATCACCAGAGGCCACGAAAAGTCAGAGACACTCGTTTCGATGGGTGCAGTTAAAAACTATGTCAACACATCGAGACGGGTATTGAGGACACAGAAATAAGCGTTAAAACTGTGGAGAGTTCATTCCGACCATTCTCGTTCCCCCCGACTGGTCGGGTCAGATTAGGCCGCACCGGTCAAAACAAGTCTACCAATAGCCTACAAGAACGATGTTTTTCTCCAAAAAAGCTTCTAAGTTTAGTTTATTAGGTGCAGTTGTGAAAAATGGATTCCCAACAACCAAAATTTTATTTAAGGGTGACCTAGACGTCATTCGAAGTCAACATAACTCAACTTTACAAGCCATCAAAATAGCCAAATTTGAAGCGATAGCCGAGTGTACGTGTTTATCTGCGAAGAAATAGCGTATTGGACATCTACAGGTACTCAGAATGGCATAGCTGTTGTCTACATTATACTTGTCCCTTAGACAGCTGGCAATGCATTTGTAACAAATTAAGAACAGATACGTTGGTACATAAAACTAGACGTCATCGGTTTCGCAGACACGATAAGAAGATAGTTACAGGCGTCCCGCTCGTTCTTTAGCCTCTCTGCTGCTGGCGTCATAGGCCATTGGCCTCGCATGACCTCATATGACCTTGCATGTCATCACAGGACCTACTGCTGACCTCAACATGCATTATCATTATATCCCATTATCACAAAAAGTAGTACTTCCAGTTCTGCGTCCAAAATTACCCAATAGAAGTGCCCATTTTAAGCTCGGCATTTGCTTTGCTGCATTCGCCCATAGAGATAGGTCATGATCTGAGGCAAGGTCACGTACTCTGTGGTCACGTGACGATTACGCATGTAAGTTGGTACTCGTTTCTTCATATACAGACACAAAAACCAAAATTCTACGTACAAACTCGCATTTTTTTTTAAAACGGTTAATAGAAATTGACCTGGCATTAGGTCACTGACCTCATATTTTACAAAAATCCGAAGGCTTTAAGCCGTTGGTGCTATCATGTTCTATCACTTTAGCAGGTTTGAACAATATGAAATAACCCACACAAAGTTATGTGTGTTGAAAGGCTTTTAGAGGTTGACTTCTTTGATCTGACCTAGGTCACCGATCATGGGGATCTGAACCTTAAATTTGCAGAAGAATGCCACATTGATGGCTGAACAGGTAATGCAAATTTTGTGTCACTGCAAGTGTTCATTTTTGACCTGTATTCGGGAAAAACGTAGGCGGAACCCAACTTCTCCCGACCGGACCAGGGTTAATGCAATATCAGCGGCATAAGCTAATAATTTTAGTATTTTTATCACAACAGGCAGCACGAGCTATAATGTACAAAGGGCATGCAATTCACTAAACGTAATTATCATGCACCGAGACCGCGCTGGTCCAGGTACATTTCGCAAGACTTCCACGCAACTAACGGTTTTTGTGTGCCGTTTCCCAGACGTCATGCCTCGTTGCTATTCATGTCTAAACAACACTGCTTTTGTTGGTACGCTTATATAAAACAGCGTCAAAAGATGTCCTCATGCCGGGCAGGATCAACAAATGATACAAATGAAGGCTTAAGTGCGCGCAGGTGACACGCACGGCAAATACATTGAAATCCATCAACGCTTGTCCCCAGGAGCTTGTCTGTTGAAGAGAATTGTGATGTTAAAGTGCGTGTGGTAGAATGGGGAAGTGAAAGATAGGGTACCGCACCGGTACAGGTACCGCTGCCCTCACTTTGAAACGCGTGGGCTTGGTCACTTGATGTCCCTTCCTACACCTAACAGGGTTGCAATGGAGGCAAATGTATAGGTAACTTAAGTTGGGTTACCCATTTCACAAAGACGGTTACGGACAGGTGAGCACTAGCATAAGTATGCCTGACATCTATGGCTCCAAACTAAACAAATTCAAAAGCGCTTATCTTGCCATCATGAAACGACGTGCAAGGTATGTACAGCCTGCATATAACAAACAGTATCATTCCAACGTGATGTAAGTGATCATCGTCCGGACCAGGTTCTATTATATTTTCTGATGCAGTTTTGAAATATATTTTAAGATTTGGTTACGATATTTTGACATATTTTGGCTAGCAGATAACCTAGCCGCTTCGGTATGTAGCCGCAAATAGCGCTGTGTACGAGTGATTACGCAGAGGTGGCGTGCGTACCCATTTGCAAACCAATAATGACGTATTTGATCAAGAAGACGAGAAAAACGAGCTTTTATCCCATTTTTTGAAGTTAGTTTTGCTGTGTAACAGAAAACACTCAACAGCCGAGAAATTTTCCCGGATTCTGGCTATATCCCCATATTCCTAGGTCCGGGCCAGTTTTCCTAGGAAAGTTCAGTTTCAGTAAATGTGGTCAGCCCGTTCCCAAGAAGTCAAAAATGTCGTTATTAATTCTCTTTCCGACCATTTTTATCCCGCGAGCAAAACGGCCGGAACACCCGAATGCAATCGGAGCGCGCGACAAACTTCAGGCACGTGACCGCCGCCATCGTCATCCAGCTAAGAGTACTCACACGTAGTCGGTGAAGGAGGCCATTTGCGGTCCGTCAGGCCAGACCAGGATGCAGCCGTGCACCTCTCGCCCGGAGGGATACCTGGGAACAGGAAAGAAGACGTTCGAATGCGACTTAGCGCTCTTCGCGTATTGTATGAAATTATAATTAAAACTTATATATCTATATCATTTAATTCATATATTTATGTTAATGCTATGTCTATATTATTCAATTTATATATTGATAATATTCAAGTTTTATTTTTGTATTATTTAATTAATATCTTTACAAGTTATATATCAATATATGATATTGAAATCTTCGGCACTCTCGCGACATTTGCCGGCGCAGGCGTGGTGTTGAGCTCCCAGCCGAGGCGACACCAAGAGTGCTGGAGGAAAGACCAGGGCGGCATGTGCGTGACTGCTTGGCTGTCAGGTTAGGCTAGTTTTAAATTGTACGGCTGTTTTAACTTGTACGACAAAAATGTAACAATGTAAATGTAAATGCAAAATGTAATGTAAAACTGTACATGTAATGCCAATGTAAATGTAAAAATGTAAATGTAGTGTCAATGTAAATGTAAAAATGTAACGTAATGTAATGAATGCAAAATGTACGACTGCATTGGGTCAAATCTGGTCACAAAAGCAAAGCTTGCTTGACTCTACCTGATCCGACTTTGCAAGAGCAGTGGGAGAGATATTAAAGGATTCAAGACTGATGCATTTCATGTGAGCAGTTAAGGAAACCTCCCTTGAAAGCATTTCCTGCGAAAAATGGTCTTCAGTGTCACTTTTGAGCGAAATATTAACAACATAACCTGGGAAAGACGTAAAAATAATGAACTGTAAGGCGAAAAACTTCGAATGCTTGCAACATGGATAAAAGTAGAGTAAACTGAAATGCCCATAATTTCACCACCGCGCTCAAAACCGTCCAAAGCTTTTCTGAAAAAGCGTAAGAGGATGGGGATGGGGAGCATCTGACGCCCCGCCCTCATAGGGCGATGGCGACACCCAGATTAATATTCATGTCGTACTTAAAAAAGGTTTTGTGCGACGATAACTTAAATGGATTTGATTGGCTTACTAACATTCCACTGGTAAGACGTGGCAAACCAGAAGGCGGAGACCGGGGTGGGAACCATGATATATTGATTATGTGTCCAGATATGACGGAAGTGGTACTTCATTCAACACGCCACACACATGGCGTGAAAAATAAACTGGGTGCAGTTAAAAATCCGGTGTTGCTTTGCCGTACTTTGTCACGATGCACAATGGTACATAAGATGTTGTTGGGTGAGAGACCGGTTAAGCTTCAGCGAGATAAAACGTAGTGTAAAGAACGCAGTGGCAACACACTGACGTGACTGTTGGCTGACATTGAAGGACATAATACGTGACTGTTGGCTGACATTGAAGGACATAATACGTGACTGTTGGCTGACATTGAAGGACATAATACGTGACTGTTGACTGACATTGAAGGACATAATACGTGACTGTTGGCTGACATTTCAGGACATAATACGTGACTGTTGACTGACATTGAAGGACATAATACGTGACTGTCGACCGACATTTCAGGACATAGTTTGATGCGTCTTGGGTAACCTTACCGGCGTTTCATACAGTTTGGCATTCGCTGCCCTGTACTATGGCCTGCGCTGTAGCAATTGGCTTATTTTTTAAATGAGACAGGTCTTCGTTTGAAAAAAAACAAGGCTTGATTTGTGTGATCCAGTTCACGTCTTACAGGCTTCACCCATCGGTGGTGATTTGGTGTTTAAGGGCGCGTCGGCATCCGGGCCATTTTGCGTCCGCAAGCTGCACCCATCGATGGGAAACTGATCGGTGCATGGTGTATCGGTATATGATTTATCGGTCGGTGTGCATGGTTTTTCGATGGTTCAGTTGCCGGGCCCATACAATGCCAGTTTCTCCACTGGCATCGCACAAAGGCTGCTGGTGATGGACTTATTACGCTCCCTAATACTAGATCTGCATTTTGTTCTGCACATTAGCCAATGCTGTTTTCACCTGGCTCTGGCAGGTAGTTCTCCAGAGAGTAAAGTACTGTAAGGCTCCTCGTTCAGCAAAGGTGTGGAAAAAAGGTGAGCTGGTATGCATACCTCAGCATGAAAGCTGATCGGAAAACTGAGGTGTGGGCAGTGGTGTACGAGGCGTGCCCTTGGTACCTGCCTTTTGTGGCTAGACATGCCGAGGTTTTCCATGTACCTTGTGGGATTTATTGGAATAGTTGTCCGAATGGTCTGCTGATATTGCGCCTTGATCGGAGGAGGTTTGGACATGTCATAAATGCTTCCTGTCTGCGACAAGTCAACGTCGAGTCTCCATCTTCACTCTCGATGTCGCTTGTGACGCATCATTTTTCCCATTTCAGGACGAGAACAAATAATCGATGTGCTTCGTGTGACGTCATCATTGATCCTTATTCCTCGATTTGCACTAGACGAGGAAGATGGTACAAGTGTGTGCGTGTGCGTGTGCGTGTGCGTGTGCGTGTGCGTGTGCGTGTGCGTGTGCGTGTGCGTGTGCGTGCGTGTGCTGTGCGTGTGCGTGTGCGTGTGCGTGTGCGTGTGTGTGTGTGTGTGTGTGTGTGTGTGGTGTGTGTGTGTGTGTGTGTGTGTGTGTGTGTGTGTGTGTGTGTGTGTGTGTGTGTGTGTGTGTGTGTGTGTGTGTGCAATTGGGGCTTTACGACGCACTCAGCTGCTGAGGCTATGTGGCGTCGCCTGCCTCTCACCCTGGCAGGAAGGGCGGGCACCGCGGGGAATCGAACCCCGTACTTCTGGTTTCCCAGACGCGCAGTGGTTAACGCAGACGTGTTAACCACTACACTACCGGCACTCAGATAGCACAAGCAGTTGCTTGATCTGTGATACTAATATCTCGACTCGGCCATTCCGAAAATTAAATAATGCATTACCTTTGACAACTGTCAAGGCAGGTTAACCAGGGCCCCGAATACGTCATACGAGGTGCATGTGTTTATTGATACATAGGCTTCGTTGCGCCGGGCATTACTCGATATGTAGCGTGCAACGTCTGGCTGTCATTCTTCAGCCCCAAATTTTGGACGCTTTTGCACCAAATTGTCATCGGCCTCATTTAATGGAGAGTCCTGTAATGACTGCGAATTGCAGCTGCCAAAATTGCAAGGAATCAAAGCATGCGTTCGAGTTCAAATTCGAGAGAGAGCAAGGCAGCACATTGCGTAAGAACCCCAAGTATTTGTGGATTAGTTCGCGTGAGATTCGGCATCCACCGGCAACTTATCAAGCCTCCACCGGCCTACGCTTCGGTTCCTTTAATGTCAAGGTGTCGTGCTGTGTTCTGCTCTGTACCCTGCTGTTATATGAGCGTGACTACGCACTGAACCGTGGTCGATCGGTGCTCTATGACGTAACAGGCATTCGTGCATGCTGGCATGCTGTTCTTACAAGACACGCATACGGTGGAGGATATCTTACCCCCAGTTCAGCCCGTTCTGGCGAGGCACTGCTATCACTACTGTAAAATAATGCAAAGCAGATAAACCTGAATCTTGATCAAATCATCTGTTCGCCCAAGTGTTCGCATGAAGCGTACATTATGAAAAAGATCCTTGGACGCTAACTTAAGCATTCTGCAGGGCGGCCTTCAGTAAAGTCAAGGTTTTGGCCTACTACTACAGTTTCATGTGAACTCCTGTGTAGTTCTCCATGAGCTTTTATTTTTTGTTCAGAGCGTGGATATAAATAAGCGTATACGTGTTTGATTCCCCGGTAGACTTCCGCCATTTCCACGTTTTGTGTTGCGATTTCTCAGCATGCGCTCGGATGGGAGGTCAATTTAATCTTATCTAGGAGGTTTTTTTCTTCCAAAAACAGCATACTAACTGCGCGGAGCAGCCGCGCCAAACTTTATATAGCCGTAGAGATTTAGTTTCTGACATTTTCGTATCAAAAGAGTACGATAATATACATATATATATATATATATATATATATATATATATATATATATATATATATATATATATGTATATCAGCCTTGTAAAGTCGCTGACCTATTGGCTGTCAAAATGAGGCAGTGGCTGTCAGCAAAGGTATTTCCTAATGAATCGTTAAATTTGATGCAACAACGGATCGTTAGATAGAGTTACACAACTTTGAGATGGTTTCCTAGGCAGTTCGCCTATTTGAACTAGAACTAAGACTAAGCCCATTGACCTTCAGTTAGATATGAAGGTCAAATAAGGTCAACATAAAACCACTTCATTGCCAAAAATTGCTTTATGAGGTAGTTTTTAACTCTCATTTCAAAGTTCAGGATCACACCGGCATCAAACGGCTTGTTTTTTTTACTTAATGAAAGCCAGGGTGAGGGAGATGACTCACCCCCAAAACGACCCCGATCAAGCTTTCCCTTAGAGAAGCATGCTGCCTGTACTGCTTGTGCTGCTTGTAGTGGTACCAGTTGTAAATTAAAGGGTGGAAAATAGTTTTTTTGGTCATTTTTACAATGGTTAGTTCAAATAACGTCAGTGACTTGAGATGAACACCACAAGCATTTTGCTTGTAAAATATATCTAGGTTAATGTTGGTTATGTGAAGAGATCTGAAGGTACTTCGGACACCGGTCTGTAGTTTACATTTATCTGACCATGCTTGATCGGAAGGTCGCAACTTATGGACCTCAAAACTTGCCATAAGTGAATTCACATAAAGCCGTACACATCCCTCTGAATTCGGCATCCCTAACGATCGTAGTTCGTCTTGGTAGATCTCAGAGGTCAGCTTGACCCCCGGACACGGCGCATTCAACCGGACATTTTGGGCGTGTGATGGGTGATTTTTGTGAAAATATACCGGATCTGCGACATTTCACGTGTATTTTCTTCGAAGATCAGTTGTGTTCGTTCGGGTGGGAAAGCCGACAGATGTCCATCAAACAATGTTTCTCTGTGGCAGACGCAGTGTGATATTATGCGGCGGGCCCGGCACGGCAAGAGCCGTCACCGGGTCACATCCAATTCGTTAATGGATTTCCATTCACAGCAGTAGTCGATGTGTCTGAGCGCTAATTATGGTA